CCCCCCCCCGCCCCCGGGGCGGCCCCGCCCCCGTGACCCCGCCGGCCAATCAGCGCGCGCCGCCGCGCCCGGAGCCGCCGAGACCCCGCGAGATTCCCTCACCTCACACAACCCTCGCCCCGGGCGGCCCCGCCCCCGCGCCCTCCTGCCAATCACGGGGGCCCACCGGCCAATCGGCGCTGCTTCCGAGCGCAGTCCCGCCCCCGGCACCCGCCGCTCGCCCAATCGCGACCGCCCGTCCGATCCGATGAGCCAATGGAGAGAAACGAGAGCCCGAAAAGGGGTTACTGGGCCAATGGCACCGGGAGGCGGGGCGGCCGCATGACTGACAGCTCCCCTCGCCAGTGGTCGGCGCAGATGGGCGGTGAAGGAGCCGCCGCTCCACCAATCGCAGAGCGCGGCGCCGGGGGACGGACGCGGAAGTGGCCGGTGCGCCCGCCCACAGGCGGCAGGCGGCCAATGGGCGGCGGGGCTCCACTGACGGGCGGCGGGCGGGGCCAATGGCGGCGCGGGGCGGGGTGAGGTGAGGACTCGGCGCGCGCGGGGCCGCTGTGGGCGCTGAGGGAGCGGTGGGGCGGGGGCCGCGCTGAGGGGGCAGCGCCGGGGTGGGGCCCTCCTTCGCCTCCGGGGGCTCGCCCGCCGGCGGCTCCCTCCCTGGCCGCTCTCCCCACGCCCGATGCGCGCTGACCCCGCTCCCTGGAGCCCGGGGGCGGCCGGCGGGGGGTGTGGGGGCTGCTGGGGGCGTTTGTTCCTGGGCTCGGGGGTCTTTTCTCAGGTCTCTCAGAGCTGCAGAGCGGGGCTGCAGCGGGGCCCGGGGCTGTGGCACGGCTGTGGCACCGGGTCTCACCAAGGCAAATCCCCCGCTCGCGGCGGGTTCCAGCCGTTCCCAGCAGTGTCTTCCCGGCCCCCGCAGCGTGCCCAGGACACGCTCAGGGGGCCCCGTGCGAGGTACGTGTGAACCAGCACCAAAACACCCTCTGTGCGTTGTTTCAGTTCACTCACGCCACGAACCCGCCGGCCTGGGGAACGCGGTGTCCTTGTGTGAGGCGTCAGCGTTCCCTCCGGCACAGGGTGAGGGAGCACCCCGCAGTCCGAACACTTTCCGTTTTTCGCATGTGAATAGTGATCATCCCTGATGAATAGTTTTGCCTCAGAAAACCCCCTGGTTATCAGAGCCTTGCCCGTGGGGCAGAGTTAAATTACCTGTGGCGGTGACAAGGAGGTTCCCTCGGGTGACGGAACGCGGGGAGCGGTTCCAGAGGAGGGGAGGGACCGGCAGGGAACCTGCCCCTGCCCCTGCTGGGGCGAGGGAAGGAGCCCGCAGAGCTGGGACGGGCCGGCTGCCCTGCTGGGCTGTGCCAGCACATCCCCGGTGCTGCAGCATCGGCTCCTGCCGCCCACCCTCGCTGTCTCTGGGAACTGGACATCGGCGGGCAGAGCGTAAATGCGACAACCTGTTGCAGTTCCTGAAACTCGAGTGCAAAACCTTTGTAAGAATGGGTTTGGGTCCTTTTTTGCCTCCTCTTTAACAAGAAAAGACTTGCAGGACTGAAGATGGGTTTCTTTCTTAAGGCTGTTCCTGCTGCATTTTGAAATGTTGTTACTTGTATTCCAGTCTGGAATTAGCATGATAGCAGAGGTTTTTTACCATCACGTCTCTAAAACCGGAGATTTCACTTAAAAAAAAAAAAAAAGAAAAGCGGGCAAGAGTAGGCTTGGTTTACAGGCATTTTCTAGTATTACCTATTGGAAGAAACAGAATACTTCTTTAGAACTTGTATTTGTAGCTGGTTTACATTTTCATTGGAGTTGATAACAGGCTGGTAATGTGGGTATGGATATGGAGAGACCAAGGGTTCTCCTGGTCTCTGGGGAGGTGTGGGGGAACAGGCTGGTAATGTGGGTATGGATATGGAGAGACCAAGGGTTCTCCTGGTCTCTGGGGAGGTGTGGGGGGGGGACTGAAGAAGGAAGCAGGGACCAAAGGCCATAGGGCTGTGTTGGCAGGACTGGAAGGCTTTTAAAGCTCTCCCACACCTTTTCATTATGGACCTTTTTCTTTCTCTGCTATTGCAATACCTTTCCAAGTAGTAAAATGGAGCAGAGGCCTAATAATCCTTGTGTGGGAACTTGGATTCTTGGTGTACCTGCAGATCATTGTCTCAGTGCCATTATTCAAGTCCAAATACAGTGTCATCTTAAGTATTTGTTCAGTTAGGTACTTTACTGGGTCAGTAAGTGTCCTGGCAGTACCCTGAGGTGTGGTCAGACACTGCCATGTCGCTGGGTTTTCAGCAGTGAGCGGAAGAGCAGGGTTGCAGTCCTGGCACTGGCACCTGTTTTCCCCACACTCCAAATCATGCCTTCCAGCTTCCTTCTGGAAAGTGTGGGTAAAATCCGGGACCCACTTTATTAATTTGGGTTGGACTAAATGCTACAGCCATATTCCCCATGTTTTCTTTGCCCCTCAGAGAGGTGAGAGGCAGCAGGAGGACTGTGCTATCTCAGGCTCCATATGGAGCTCTGTCAGGTGCCAGCGCTGGAGTGACCCACCCTGACGAGTGTATCTTCCTGCCACACTGGGTCCATAAACACTTGTAATTGTTGTCCCTGGCCTCTACCAAGCTGTGGAGCTTAACACTGTCAGTTCAGCTGCTTTTTAGGCTCTTCATGCTCTGAAATTTAAGGAGGAGGAGATCCAGTTGATTCATACGGAGGTATGTGTAAGGAAAAAGCTTTTGAAAGGATATTAAGGAAACACAGAACTTGCTGACAAAGTGCTCACCTGATAGACCGTTTGTTTCCTCAGTGCAGGAACGTGTTCCCTGTGAGTGCTGTGAATCACTCCCGCTTAGAGCAGAGGGAATTAACGGTGTAGTGGTGTAAGTCAGGCCTTCCTCGTCACCTCCTGCCCCTGAAGGCTGCTGAGGGGGCTCAGCACTGAGCTGGCTCCTGGAACTTGGAGCAGGAGTGTTCTGGGAGTAGTTCAGTGAGCCTGAGCTGCTTGATGGGCAAGTTGGCAAAATCCAGCCATGGTAATTGGAACTGGGCAGGCAGAAACACTGCACGAGGTCCTGCCAAAGCCTGGTTTGAGGGCAGCTCATTTGTCATCCCCAGTGAGGCCTGGAGATACAGGATTGGTGACTGCTGCTGCTGAAACATGACAGATCAATTCTAATCTCTTGCTGCTGAAGACAGTTATTCATGGGGACATGCATCTGTCTCTTAGCATTGTGCTCACAGTAAGTGCTGTAACCAGTACAAGTCTGCTGTCTGAGAGGGAATGCTGCTATGGTTGGGGTTGTCTGTGCTAAACTCAGGTAAAAATTATATAGAAAAATCAATACTGTGCATGAGAAACGCAGGGCACAGACTTGTTCATTTTCAAAAATCCACGGCATCAAGCGTAGTCTTTTCTGACTCTTGAGAGATTTGTTTTCCCCTTGGATTTGACACTTGCTTTGCAGGGATATAATCTTTTTGACAGCTCTCTGTGCACGGGGATGGAGGACAGTTCGTAATCAGCCAGTCCTGTTTCTGGTCCTTAGCAGTGTTGTAACCTTAAAATTCTCCACGAAAGATTGTATTATCTTGCACAGTATAAAATGTAATGGTTCAGTTCCAGACATACCTTGTGGGCTTTTTTCCCTTGTCACACACAAACTAGCTGTGAAAACAGAACTTGGAATATTAGAATAAGTCTTTTGATTGTGAGTTGTGTATGAATGTCCTTCAGCACTTAGGCATGTAGGCTTTTTGTGATCCTTTAATGCAGAAAAAGTTACATCAAGTGGAACAAAGCATAATAAAAGGCATGGATTTGTCTCTGATCCAAAAAGGGGGTGCTCTGAGCTGCACTATTGATAATTTATCATGTGGGTGTTTGACAAGCCCACACATACCCTGATATACCACTCTGCAGATACAGTCCTCAGTGTTCTGTAACACCCTGGAAATATTTAATTCATAAATCCTAATGCTGAAGCCCTTAAGGTGTCATAAGCATGGTGCTGATGGCTGTGAATCTGAGGGAGTTTGGTTAGTCAGATAAATACCATGCTCTAAATAAACTGTGGTCCTAATGTGCAGCAGAATAAACATATACACAAAATATCATGGGATTAAAATTCCTGTTGGAGTATGTTATTCCTTTTCTTTGCAAAGAATAATTTCCCAGAGTTTTTGTCTTTAAAACCTTTTCTCTATGAAACTGGAAAAGAATAAATTACTCCATTAATAAATGCAGTGAGGAGCAGGGGAAAGAATATTTTCATTTAACTTTGATTATTTATAACAGTTTCTGTCTTAATGCTTGCAAGGATGGCAGTATGTCTTCATCTAGGAAGAGGGCAAGGATCTGCTCATCTTGTGGAATGAGGGATAAATCCCTGCCCTCTCAGGGCAATGTTTTAATAAGATAGAGGGACAAAAATCCAGTAGTCCAACCAAGCAGGTGGCCTAGTGGAAGGTTGTTGGTCAGGCCAAAAGGCACGTTGGCCAAGAGAGCCTTTAAGCAGCAGTGTGGGAATGTGGCCCTGCCTTGGACAGGATTAGAGGGTGGACTGGTGCTCCTGCAGCAGGGCAGCACTGCCTGGGATGGGGCAGGGCCAGCTGGTGTGAGTGACAGACGGTGTCATGGAAGATCGTGCATCTCTCTGATGGTGAACATCAGACTCTACAGGCACTTATGTTCCTTCCCTGCCCTGTCAGCCCTCCGTGGCTCTGCAGAGCAGTGTCTGTGGTGGGCTGTGGTGGCTGACAGCCCTGCCCCGGGTCTGTCCAGTGTGCTGCACAGACACATGTGACGGTCGGGATTAGCACTGCGCCCTGAGATCGGCCCCAGCGCTGTCATCTCCCAGACATGAACTCATGCTCTGCACAGCTCTGTAGCCAGAGGTCTTTTCTTTTGGGAGTCCTGACTGACTAGTGGATTCTTTGCTCCCTGCAGCACTTACACATGAGCTTGGGAGTGCTCAGGTGCTTACAGTTGGTTTGTAATAATTAGTCATTTAAAGACTTCAGCCGGATTGTTTAGTCCTTTCTGTCTCGTTTTCCTCCTTGCTGCTAAACACCAGTTGCTGGAGACAGAGGGGAAGTCTTTATCCCCCACTGCTTTCTGGAGAAAGTGACAGTTCTGCAGTCCTCTCTGTTCTATATTTCTTTGCACCAGAAATGACCCTGCTGCTCTTTGTCACCAGTGTTTCCTTTTATCCCTCTCCTGGCAGCTGCTCTTGCTTCATTCTGATGTTGGAACAGCAAATGAATTCCCTCTGAAGCAAATGTCATGCCAGTAAAGATGTTGAAGCAGCAAGAAAATCATCTCTCTCTCTCTGAAGACTGAATTGGAGACCTTTGTGAATGAGATGTTCTTAAAATAGCTCTGCAGTGTGTTATCTTCCCTAGAAGGTGGAGAATTGAAAACACCACCACGAACCACTTGCCCTTGTGCGAGCAGCATCCCTAAATGATGGGTTTAGGAGTGGGGAGAGGACACTTCCTTTTCCTCCTCTCCAAAAAGCGCTGCATGATTTTAATCTGTGTATGACAGTACATTTGTGTATTTTCCAAGATTTGCATCACTGTTTGCTGCTTGTTTAAACATGTCACGTGTTGAGTGACCTTGTTCTTCTCCAAGATCCACTGTTTCTGGATAAACTAGTAGCTAAAAGTAATGCCAAGCCACAAGATGAGTAGAGATGCTCTGAATGACCCTGGCTGAGGATCTGGGCAGCCTCTATGGAGAGCAGAGATTGCCAGCTGGTGGGATGTGGCACACCTGGATACCAGACCCCTCTGGCACACGGCTGCTTGTGTGATGGGAGAGCCAAACGGTCCCAGCCCTGTGCAGTCTGTGCCAGGCTGGGGGCATTCTCTGGGTGCTTCAGTCACTCGTTTTGTGCAGCATACCTGTAACGTTAGTGGGTGGCTTGATGTGCACAGAGTGCACG